TCTAAAAATGTTAGAAATATGCAAGAATTTATGACCTAAAAATTATGAAAATGTGTCCTGAAATATGACTTCAAATTTTGTTTAATTTTTATATAAGCGAGACCTCAATGTGGTACTTGAAAACAAAGACTTGGCGGTTTTGTTGCGAACAGCTTCGCCATTATTGAATGCGTTTACCTCTCGTTAGCTTTTTAATTGGTACGTATATTAGTAGTTTGCGGGGTTAAGTCACGTGTCCCAACGAGTAATAATAGGTCAGGGAGGTAATGGCGTCGACGAAACCATTTTCTTGAAATTTGCACTCGTATTGGAGCTTTGATGAATATTTTCTTCACTGCAGAAATTAATTTATCTATATCAGGATAATTACCATCCGCGTCTCGATTTAGTACAGGTGCAATGCGTGTCACATGTATCTTTTTTGGATATAATAGCTGCAAACCTTTCTAGCTATCACCATGTAAGAGACTACATAAATGATTAGAAGTAGAACAATTTCTCTCTTCACTCGTTCAGGACACAACAGAATCATTACTAATGCAAGGTAACAGCAATATTGTTAAGTGGTTAGTTCTGTCCAGAGTATCACTGGAAATGAGACATTTATTTCTTGCTCGGTCTCCCCTTTAAAAAAACAAGAACAACATTTGAATTAGGATATGTGAAAAATGTATTGGAGACGACTGCAAGCGCAAAATGGAATCAAAATGATAAAAGTATGACAAAAATTCGTGAAAAAATATGACCATAATACGAAATATAAATGAAAAATTACAAAAAGGATAAAAAAGGCAAAATATAACTGCATGACACGCAAAAATTGTATGATTTTAATTAGTTTTTTTCCATAGAAATAACAAAGGAAAAAACGTGTTAAAAAATCTGAGACTTCGATATGACTTTTTTGTCGGTTTAATTTCTAAGCAAATAACCTTTAAAAGCAAACTATTATTGAAAGAGGATTTATTAATAAGGTATACTCACAGTAATGGTAACCATTATCCAGTGCTTGTTTTAGTACTGAGTTCACCATTTTATTAATGTATTTGATTAGCTCAGCTTAATAAAATGGTTGTTCACTTAATTATTATTAAATACATTCTCAAAACACAGATACAAGTAAATTTTCTATAATATAAAATTTCAAGATCTGCGAAATGAAATGTCTAAATATGTTTGTTTTTAATTTGTTCCAAGATTGGGGGGGGGGGGGCTTCTGAATCCCGCCACTGCTTTTTATCCTCATCTTTGGCCATAATAATTGCCTTTTTTATGCTTATTTTTAGGTAAAATAAAAGCCTCAACGTCCAGACTCTAATTATAACACACCATAAAAAATAGAAATTTTGAAAATCAACGAAGCCATTGACAAAAAATAATTGTTAATGTGCATAATATGTGTTGTAAATGTGTAAAATATGGATTCACTTCAAAGCCATTGATATTTTTGAATTTTGATCAATGTGTTTGTTTACGTACTCAATCTTGATACAAGTCGTTTGTCTTTCACCACTGAGGTTCCAGGTTCGATTCCCGTAGAATCTCCATAGAACCTCATGTGGAATTTGTAACAACAAAACGAGTTTGCATACTGTACAGGGGCTAGTCCAAGTCCTGTGAAGCGTCCTAGACCTTAACCCTATCCTTATTCCTTCCCAATTCTGGCCGCTGGGTAGTGACGCAGGAGCGCATAGGAGGAGACGCGTACGCGGAGATGCTATCTGGCGGTCCTCTTGAGTTCTGACTGAGACCAGACGTGACGGACTTTGTAATTAATAGAGGATTACTCCAAAAAGTGCGTAGCGCTCAACGCCCTTCAAGGGATTTGGAGACGCGTTGCATTTAAGTTGACGCAACAAATTTTTTTAAAATAAAAAATGAATGCACTCCTAATAATTTTACCGCAAAATGTATCTATATTTTATGACCCATTATGTACGTAATTGATACATGTTCACTTAGAGATGCAAAAAGTTTCAGAAGCATTTTTCATGGCTTCAGAATTAAAGGGCACCATTGTAGCCAAACTTGTTTCTTGGCATAGTTATCTAAGAGAAAATACAAGCAAATATTAAACTAATATTGTAACGTATTAGCCAGCGTGCCTCGTGGCATCTATTTGGGGACGCTTGGCAGGATTAGCCTTGCCACAGGAAGAAGGGTTTTTCCGTAAAGGGAAGAACGCGGAGACGGGAGACACAAGGCTTTGGATGTCTTCCGGCTTATAGAAGCTTTTCACTGTTATAACAAGCGAGGGGGTGGCGTGACGTAGGAGGTCACGTGGGCCTCGCCTATATAACTATATATATATATAAGAGTGTACGGAGCCAGTAGGCAGGTTCTGGAGACGGTGGGAGAACCTCGTGCGTGTGCACAAAACTTGGCGCCAAGACGGTGCATATGCGAGCCAGGCTCGCGAGTCTGGAGTCATTAGTTGACGAAGCCTGCGGACTTTATGTCCTTGAGTGACTGCGGTCACGGGGGAGCGATGCTGTGTGCGTGCTCCGAGGTGAAGAGTGGTTGAGTGCCACGATTCACGCCGATTCTCAATCGGATAAGATCGCTCCTGCGATCGAGGTAAACCAGCCGTTGGTGCGCCAGAACGGACTTTGTGTCCCAGCGTGACATCCGGTCACGGAAGCTAGGCTTTGTGCGCGCTTCAAAAGTAGGAGTGGCGAATGCCACAATCAAAACCATCTTCAATCGGGTTTTGGATCGCTCCCGCGATCAGGGGATAGAAGGTCTATCAGAGCTAGGGTTTAAGTAGATTATTAAGTGTATATATTTGTTTGTTTTCTTGTTAATAAATATATTTGTTATACGAAAGCTCTGTGTCTGTGGTCGCTGTGAGTATCCATGACGTCACAATATAATATGGAGCAATGCTTAAAAGAAAATGACTTTTCTGATCCTAAGTACAAGAGGGTGCGTGTTCATACTTATGACAACATAATCAGAAGCCTTATTTAAAATATAATAAATATTGAATTCAATTGGCTTCAATTAACTGATCAAGACAATTAAAGTTACATGCTTACTTCAGGATTTTATTAGTTTGAATTAGTATACCTTTGATTATGTCCAGAAACCATCTCCTGAGTTATCAAATCAATCAAAATTTAATATAATAGTTTTTAATTTACCCTTTTATGGAAGAAAATTAGACATTTTAGATATCTACGCTGTGGTATTACTTTTGAATAATATGAAGATATCTCACGAGTGAATTCACAGATGAATTTTGGGAGAGAAAATTCAAATGTTTTGGTTGAATGTGTCATATTACAGATTTTGTTAAAAGTCACAGGCTTATGCTGTAATACTGTTATTTGTTTTAATAATTATCCAAAAATATTTTGATTGCAAGTTTTGTGACAAGTTACTGAAACATTTTGGGAGGGAAAATTTCTCCTATTTCCCTCCCTGTGGATTCGCACCTGGATATCTCAATAAAACTCAAAGATTCCTAAACATCTGTAGTACAATAATAAAATGCCTCAGAAAGAAAACAAGAAAGGAAACACAACTTAAATTTTATAAAACAATGGCTACTCCCCTTCTTCTCTAAGAATACAAGACATGGACCATGAAAAAGAAAGATTTTACCAGAATTCAGTAGTCTGAGATGAGGTTATTGAGACAAGTCAAAGGCTGCACAGTATTAGACAAAACAAAAAGTGAGTTAATCAGAGAAGAATTAGAAGTATTTCCATTAACAAATAAAGTACAAGAATACAGGACCTGTGGTCCCAACATCTACAAAGAATAAGGAGTTATCGCATCACAAATCAAATATATCACTACCGATCTCATGATAAAACAGACAACAACCATCCAGGATTAAGAATACATGCTGGAGATAGAACAGGAGACTCTCCTAACCCTTGATGTAATGATGTAATGTAATGATGAAGATGAAAGAATGATCTAAAGGAAAGGAGGTTGTCTAGTAATAAAGTGTTAAAATTAGTTCTAAATAAGAAATTACTGTTCTTTCACATTATGTGGTGTTGAAGAAGGAAAAAAAATAGTTATTGAACCATTTCTGTGTCATATTGCCAACAGCATGCAAGATTCAGCCTCTGATCCAATCAAATCTATGTTGAAATTTGCACACCTTAAAAATTAATTTTCTCTACATTCTTCCTTTTCAGGTTCTCATTCATGATATTGAACGATACGTTTTGAAACTACTTGTTAAAAATTCTTTAACAAGTTTAACAAGTAATTAAAAAGTTTCTTTTTGTTATTTTCCACAAATAAAGGCATACTTAGATGCCACAAAATTTTATTTAAAGAAAATCTTAAACTAACATATACTGAAGACTCACTTCATCAATAAACTTAAATTTTGAATATTTAAATGTTGTCAGAACTTTAGAAATTTGGAATGTCTCGAAATTTGTACTTATTTTAATTGATTATTGATTGGAAAGTGTTACCAGAAAGTGGAATCAATAAACATATGGTAAAATAGACATTCCTGTAAATCACATGGCCATGTAAAACAATTAAGTAGTACTGGAAAATAAACAAAACACAAGGATCACATAAATCAACATGCCTACCACCTCACAAATTGAGATTGATCTCAAGATTATATACTTGTAAATTTCTATGAACTAATGCTAAAACATAATGCACACAACTCCTATGAAAACATCATTGGTGTACTCATTTCAAAATGTTCAGTTTCCATCACCTCCTTGTCTGTCAACAGTTTTTTGTACACCAGACTTATTTTTGGCATTATTAAATATGTAAATAATATTTTGTAATCAATGTTGAATTTTGAATCTTCTAGTGCATTCAAAAAATGTGTTATTCTCTCCAGATTTAAAACTATTCAGTTTTTTTTAGATTTGTTCATTCTTAACAGAGAGTGCTTTGCTTTTGTACTAAAAAAAATGGATTGGTGTTGCAACAATTGCTGTTGCTGTTATTGTTTTTTTAAATAAGGAATTAATGAAATGAATTTGGGTATAATAATTACATGCATATCTTTGTAATCATTTATCTTATGAAATTTCTGAAACAAATTTACAATAACAAAAATACTGTAAAAAATTATTATATATCCTACATTAATGAGATCACAATGTAACACTCAATATATACACACATATTTTGTACAGAAATATATCACACACAACATTTTATAATGTTCTTAGAGAGTCTGAAAGTCAACAATGAATATTTCCAACTAAAACAAAATTTTGCACACACACACACTTGTGTAACAATCAACTACAATAATCATTTTCTAATATCAGAATATAGGATCGTCAGCAGTTTGATAATACCAAACTGTAAAAATTAAAATATATAATTTGTACTTGCATATTTTTCCTTCAAATTTACATTTCATGTACATTAAATACATAAAAGATTAAGTAAAATGTATGCCATGTTCATGTACATTTGCCAGGAAACAAAAATGTAATTTACATGATTTAATAACAACAATACTGAATGATCATAAAATGCAATAATGTACATTATAGTGATAAAAAACTCTTATTATAAATATTTCCTTTTCTATAACAAAATACAAATCTACAGGATACGTACATAATTCTGTGACAGTGTATCATTTTCTTCAATTCACTCAAGTTCTTGGACGGAAACGTGACATATAAAACTCACAATCTGTACAATACACCACAGGAGGAACTACTTGTTTCTTGTGACACAAGTGACACGACACTGTCCTTGCAGTGGTCCTGGGGTGATCTGCAGCCACTGGCTGTCCTTTGTACTGCACTGTCTTTGCAGCAGCCCATGGGGGAGGGGGAGGCTGGTACGGCGGGGCCCCTGGCTGCTGCTGCGCTGAGTGCACCTGCTCCGGAAGAAGGCCCTGACTTGCATTGTGCTTTGGAGGTCCTTCGTGGTGAGCAAAGTTTTGTCCGTGGGGCTGAGGTATCCTCTGATACGGGGTGTGTGAAGAGGGCAGCTGCTGAGGAGCAAGCTGTTGGGCTGGGTGTTGCAGCGCTGCATGGCCAGAATACTGTGCTAGGTTTTGCCCCATATGTTGCTGCATCAAGTGTTGCTGTCCTGGATGAGGGCCAGGGTGCTGTTGCATTGTTGGTGGTTGGGCAGGGTGCTGCTGAGAAGGTGCACTTTGACCGAAAGGTGGGTTTAAGGGCTGACTGTTAACACTTGATTCTCGAGAAGGGCCATGGGCAGGTACTATATGTTGATTTGGATGATGATGCATTGAATTTGGGATATACTGTTGGTTCCCATTCATTTCTTTATGAATTGGGTGATGTGAAGAAGGCACAAACTGTTGATACTGATTATTTCCTGAACTGTGATTCCCTAATTGGAGAGTGTCATGTGAATTTTGATTATTCTCGTGATATGGGTGACTAGCAGAATTTAACATATTATGGCCGTTAATTTGCTGGTGAACCAAATAAGAACTATTACTTTGCTGTGGGTGACTTGCAACGGATCTTTGTAGCTGATGGTAAGCATGGTGATTTGAAGGTGGGTGAGTGTAAGGTTGTGAATTTCGCAATTTCTCTGGCACATGCTGATAAGGTGGTTGAGGAACTCTAGCACTTTCAGAGGAATACTGATATCCAGGGTGAACTGTCCGAGAGTCTTGTGTATGAGGAACACTACGAGAAACTTCATGATAAGACCCTGGGTTACCAGGAACCCTGGTTTCTTGGTGGGGAGATGAATACTGATATAACTGAGCAGGTCTTGATTCTGCTGCAAATGAAGACCCATTTGAGACTGCAGAAGCATGGTAGTCCTGGTGTTGGGGTGTCTGCCCCAGAGTAGCAGCATTAGGAGAAGAATGGGGCTGTCCATGTGCTGGTGGATGTTGCATGTGAACCATTTGTGGGTTTTGCTGATGTTGAGGCTGTACATGCTGCAGTTGATTCTGAAGATGATGGCCATGTACTTGCTGCTGATTTTGAGATGTTTGAGAGAAATGATGTTGGGAGTGGATTTGATGATTAACTTGAGTTTGGTGTTGAACTTGTAAATGTTGTTGCTGTTGTTGTTGTTGTTGTTGTTGTTGTTGTTGAAGCTGTTGTTGTTGCATTTGTTGCTGTTGAAGCTGATGCTGTTGTATATGTTGCTGTTGTAGATGTTGCTGTTGTAGATGTTGTTGTAGCTGTTGCTGTTGTAGCTGTTGCTGTTGTAGCTGTTGCTGCTGTAGCTGATGCTGTTGTAGTTGTTGTAGCTGCTGCTGTTGTAACTGTAGTTGTTGTAACTGTTGCGTTTGTGGTTGTTGTTGTTGCTGCTGCTGTTCAGATTCCATGCCCTGGAGACTTCTCACTTCTATCTGCACATCAGAGTTCTGAGGAGTCTCCTGCTTGTGAAAGGCAGACCGTAAAACTCTTTCAAGAATTGGGTTGGGAATGTAGTTGTCCTCTTCTTCATCTTCAGCAGTTGCAACAAGGATAACCTGATCACAAAAAGTTACATTTTTCTTCTTTCCATTTCTCTTCTTACTATCTTTTAAATCAGCTGATATATTTACTATATCAGATACAGTATCAGTCTGATTACTAACAGAAGTTGAATTTTCTGTTGAGTCCAGTTCTGTTCCAGACAATAAACATTCAAGAGAGGATGTTCCATTACTGCTACGTTTCTTAACAGACAGCACTCCAGTGTCAAATACATTATCAGACCTATTTTCTCTTAGATTTGGGGGACAACTCAGCAAAAATTTATTATTGTGTTCTACACCAAGACCATTACTGATTCCAGGTGGAACTTGAATAAAGGAAGTATCCTGCTCCAGCACAGGGTCCATACACATTTCTTCATTGGAGACAGAACTCGATTTCACTGGTGCATTCAATGTGTTTCTGGCAAGTCTGATGTCAGCCTCACAAATACTGGTTTGTTTAGTAGTAGGACCAGAACTGATATGAATGTTCTCAAAGCGAGAAGCTAAATCTTTCACAGATGAAGGCTTTTTATCACCAGCATCACAGTTGGAACCTTGTGAAGAATCCAGACCAGACTTTTTAGACGATGAGCCTACTACACCACTGTGTAATTTCTTTAATCTCCTTTCAGCCTGTTTAGCTTGAAGTTCTTTGAGCCATTCCTCTCCTGACTTTCCACTAGAGGACAACGCATCATCTCCTTCTGTTTCCCTTTCAGGCATTACACATTCTTTTGCCATTATTTGCATCCGTTTCTCTTGCAATTGTGCTAGAAGTCCACTAGGACTAGTTTGCTGAGCACCTGGGGTGGGAGGGGGAATGTTCACATGGAGGTTGAAGGCCTCTGGCCCAAGGGCTGTTTCCAACGGGGGAGGTGGAGGGGGGAAGTCTTCGCTAGGCTGCCGAGAATGGGACACAGAGTTGATGGGACTGGGATATGGAGGAAGAGGCAAAGTCTGGGACAAGCTTTCATTAGAGAAAGTTTTTTGATGAGAAATAACTTGCTCGGAAGAACTTTCTGGAAGAGATTGTGATCTGCTTAAACCATTGTGCACCACATTTGCATTTTGTTCATGATGTACTTCTGCTCGAGTGATTAGTCTGTTGTTTTGGTTACTTTGCCTATCAAAAAGTATTCCACCATTTGCATACATAATAACTTCGCCATGCCCTCTTGGTTGATTTCCTTCAGCATTATGAGATTGTTTCACTTCAACATTGTAAGAAGGAAGATAAGGTAAGGATTGTGCTTCTAAAGCATAATTGTTTATGTAGGAATTGGAATTTCTCGGACTTAATGGACTGTGATTTCCTTTGAGACTATCACTGGATGGAATGCTACTTCTTTGGAAGTTGGAATAAGAGTTATGGGTATTTCCAAGATTATCATTTGCTGTTTCATCTCCAGTAAGCAAATTTTGTGTTCTATGCGCCAAATCACCAGTTTGTTCTTGTCCAGCATCTGTAGAAGCCTTTGTAGATAGCTGTGACGTAGTCCTTATCGGTGGGGGAGGTGGTACTTTGGCTACATGTAAAACTTTCCCAGCACTTCCATGGAAGCTCTTCCTCATAAGTCGACTCCTTTCAAGGTTTGGATTTCCACCACCTGTGTATTCTAAATGACCTTCAGACAAATAACCACTAAGGGTTCCAGTAGTTACTTTTTCTGCACCTTTCAAACCAACACTACTGTCATCTTGTGATGTCTTCACCAAAGCAGGAATTCCTTTGGAATCATTTCCTTCAAGGCCTCGTGGAGAAGCTCCAACTTCTTGACCTTCTCGAAGGTCAGGCATTGACCGATTCTTTCGGCGAATGAGGCCTCCCATCAGCAACTTCCTTCTAATTTTGTGTTGCTTCTTTCCTTGTTTTCCATCCGAAGTGGCAGCAGCTGACGGTTTCTTACTTTCATCTTTTCCTTTGTCCTTTTTAGAAGAATTTTCCTTCCCCATACTTAAAGGACTGGTGCTGGGAAGTAATGAATAATCTCTGCTATTTTTATTACGTTCCTCACTTCTGGCTCTCTTTTCCCTGGTTGTTTTATCTTCATCTTTTTTGCGGCTAGTGATACTTCGAGTGGAAAGTAAATTCCTTTCCCGTCCTGGTCTATTGTACAGCAGGTACTCTTCGTCTTCCACAATATTGCTACCTTCAGTGGTCTTGCTGTTGCGAACACTGGTTCCAAATTTCTTTTTGGGAAGAGTAGCATATATTTCAATACTTTTTGCTGGTTTTTCACTCGACCCAGAGTTTGAGAGTTGAGCCAAAAGTTCACGGCCATTCTGCTGCACATGCTGAGGCGCAGTGCCTTTGTCTCGTGAGTTCTGGCGTGAGTGCTGCCCACTTCCTTTGCTGCCAGAGCTGCGAACACTGCAACCACTGCCCTCTCGACTATGTCGCACCTCAACAGCTCCATCTGGAACATAAAACAGGCCAGTTTCACAAAAGAAACAGGATAAAGACTATCAAAGAGGTTCTAACAATCTTCAAGCAATAGGAGATATTTTTCAATCAAAATTATTCCATTAATGTGATACTAGTAATTTCTCAAAAGGTGCATATGTACAGTAATAAAGCACAAACAGAATATTTTTCCCAGAATTAACAATAAGTTACATACTAACCTTCTTTTTCAAAAGAAACAGTCTTTTGCTCCTGTTGGCACTGAAGAAGTCTGCGATGCAGACTTCGCACCCTCATCACACACGTGTTGTGCTTCATGTGAGCAAATGTCAAGGTCTGTGGATTGTTGTAAGGTGCATCAAGGGCTGCTCGGGCCTTTGTAGCTGCTGCCTGGCAAAGCACAAGGGCAGTCTCCAGGTCGCAAGCCTCTTCCGTAGCACGAGACTTGTCCAACAATTGATCAGCCTCAAGACAAAGCTGTTCACAATCACTTTCTACCATTGCTGGGGCAACAGTTTGACCTGGGTAGGGAGCAGGAACTCGTACTTGATGTGATCCACCCACCACACCAGTCTGAAGACCTTCTGGTATCTGTGCCAGCTAAACACAGAGAAAACACTAATTTCAGAAAACAGTAATGTTGGTAAAATTGTATGTTTAAAAGAGAAGAAAAGGCAGAGTTAAATTTCACCAGTAAATGGTTTTACTAGTATGATAGAATCAAGGAATCAAGATAAAGAATACTTTTTATTAGAAAGACAGTTTTGATCTGTAACATAACTGAACAGCATTTGTAGTTTCCAGAGGCATCAAGTAGACTTGAGTAACATGACTGATTTATTAACGTTCACTGAATGAATTGGGGTAGCTACATTTCGATATTGTACCTGCATTAACTTGCAGAATTCTACAAGTCTTATGTCACAGAATTAGGCAAAATCACACGGGTGATAGATATAGTAACATATAAATTTTAAATACAGAAAAATCAGAAAATATCAGCAGTTCTCTTTAAAAACAGTATTAATTTTACTAATTTCAAATCACTTTTAAAATTAATGAAGAAAGGTATCCAATGAAAGCTAATGAAGTGAATTAGCAAGTGAAGTACCTACTTAGTAAACAATAACTGACAGGCCAGGCAGTTTGGCATTCTGTGCTTTAAGAAACTACAAATAAAAAAATAATTTGAAAAGGAAGTATTTAGAGGTGATTTACCTGCAAATTGTGTTTGAGACCCTGCTGCAAAGGCAAGCTGTCAGTCGAGGACAGGGAGTACGAATCATAGCCAGCATCATAAGGACCTCCACTGCTGGAACTTGTTGGGCTACGAGGAACCACAGATTGTGCCTGACGCCCTTGGACTTTGCCTACAATGTACAAATATGGATTCTCCATCGAAGTGGATGATGACGATGATGCACTGTTTCGATCACCACTCCAGTTGCCAGAATCTCTGCGTCTAGGAATATTCAAATGTTCTGGCATGGAAATACCATCTGCAGTTGAACCGTTTGTAAATGATGGTGATCCCTGGGAAGGAAAACTTCCACCGCTATTACTTCTCTGAACAGCTGGATGCTTCTTCTGTTGATAGCTAAGAACATTTTCAACTGCCTTTCTACTTATATAATTGGGTTCATTGTTTCCAATGTCACCATCCACAGAGTCAACACCCTGCTTCTTTTCTCCATTGAATATCACATCTTGAATATCACTCAAGTTTTGGTATTCACTGTATGGTTTGGCTATGATGGGCCTTTGAACGCTGTAGTGGTGATGAGGGCCTTCTGGGTTGGGAGTGATGGCCCGTCGAGGAGCAGCTGAGCTGCCATTGGCTGGTGGAGGTGGTTTCTCTGGGCTGGGAGTCACAGACCTACGGAGAATGGGCCCTTGGAACGGGGTAGATGGGGTCTGAGCAGGGGCAGTAAATGGCCTGCCCTTAAAGGAAGCATCTCTGTGTTTTGGAGAGGCAGAAGTTACTGGAATAACACTTTTTGGAGCACCTTCTGTTGACACTGGGGTGCCATCTTTGACAGCATACAACAGCAGCAAAGGCTGATAACGTCCTCTTCTGCATTTTTCCACTACCTGCTCCCATCGAGGGCCTATTTCTCTAACGTTAGCATCATCAAAATAGATCCACACACGCAACTTTGTGTGAAAAAAGAATGTAGAATAATGCTTTCCATAGTATGTCACAACACCAACAAGTGAGTGAGAAGTGGACGCAGCCCATCTGTGATCCACAACACTGTGGAAAACATCAGATAAACTGAGAGAGGTGCCAACTGTTGCAAACACATCCATAATGTGATCAAGGGTAGGTCGTTCAGAATCCCACACAACTCCTATCGAGACAATTTCTGGTCTGTTCATTAGTGTTCGGCAAATCTGAATTTTTGCTCCGCACGCACTCTGAAAAAATAAATTAAAAAATTAATCATCATCATCATCATCATCATTTACATAAAACGACATAGAATTCAAAATAATAAGAGGCAACTGAAGATATATTAAGAAATGCACCTATGTAGCAACATTATAACATGGTTTGTTGAGTTGCAATGAAATAAAAGCACATATAAATGTTAAAAACTTACAGGACAGTCACGAATGTCTCCCATTCCCCCTGCTTTGCGCAAGAGCTGACCAAAAAGATCAGAATGGACAGCAGATGAACTCTGGCGAGCCTGCGCTGTGAGAGCTGAAGCAGACACGTAATGCACCATCTGGAAGATCAGCAGAGAGAATAATTCAGTGAAAGTACTTTCATAACAAGTATTTGCCTTCCTACTTGAATACAAGATACAAAATTTCAGAAATACTTCCCTTAAAGGAATTTTCAATTTTTGAAAAGACAATCTCCTCTACTTTGAAAATATTTTATTAAGAAAAGAATCAACTGAAATTAACATTTTAGTTTTTCAAAATTATCAATTTAATAAATGAAAAAGAATTAAACATTTTTATCAATCCATTATTTTTTTTTGTTTTGCCATAACCTCAAATGACCAGTTATGATCACAATCAATTATTGATTAAATCCTGCATGAGTGGATATTACTCTTTCTTCCCCTCTGTGAGACAGACAGTCAGATAGTTGTAGACATTTATGTTATTGTTTCTAAAGTGATAATATTTGCAAATGAATGAAACCAAAAATTAATAAATAAATACAATTGTAAAATAATGTAGTTTACTTAATTAATATTCTATATTTTCTAACTGAAATCTGTATATTTCTGTTTTAAATATCCTAATAAACGCTTCTATGTTGACCTTTAAATAAAATTTATGTACAGGTTAATTCTTCATTTGTGTATTATTAATGCGAAGAAGAAAAAGTACCATCAATGCCAATTTTTGAGTTCAGATTAATGGGAATTTCTTCCCCTAGTGCACTGATCAACCATTTACCTGGGTAAAGGGAAGAGGTTCTGACGTTGCTCCACAAGCACCACATACACTCTGCTCCACCAAAGTCATAGCAAATTTCTGATGAGGAATGCAGTGGCGTGCATTGCACATGTCTTCTGCTTCTCCACTAGCAATGTGGAAGTGGATGCGCAGCAGAATGTTTTCCTGGAAATCAAAGACAGAAAAATCAATAAAACATAATTCCATAATAGTGTTCAAAATTGAACAATGATACCATGTTAAACGAGTTGGACTTATGCAAACATACTACTCTTTTCAAATATTTGTTTCAAAAATGTACATAGATTCATACTGACATCAAACCTCGAACTTTTCCAACATAGCTCTTAATGTAGAGTGGGATTGGAGGATAATTAATAATCTTAATAAGGTATGAATAAGAAAGAACTTGTGACCGTCGAAGCTATGAAAACTGGGTTTTAAGACCTTAGTGCACATCATTCCCAAGTTATACACGATGGTAACTTGTGTTGTGGGTTGCATGAGCGCCTGCTGATTTCCTTGTATCATAAATCATAATACTGAAGTCAGATTTACAGGGCTTGGTCAACGGAAGAAAGAAAACGTGGTTGTCTGAAAACTTTTTGAAAAATGTATTTCCATCATCACAAGACGAGAACAAAAAAGAAAAAAAACGCCATGATTTTTGGTTACCTTACGATGTATCATAATCTGAGAAATTCAATTCCCCCCCCCCCTCATATCTATATCATGCACTCCCGTGGGGATAATATCCAATATAGCAGTAGCTCACATACAATATTTTGCGTCGTCTGAAATCTTATGAATGGTTAATGAGTCATCTTTGCTTCGCGTATTACAGTAATGGGAGTCCCCCCCCCACACACATATTGTTGTTATAAAGAGTATACTGAGAGGATTTCCCGGCGATCCATACCTTATGTATTGAATCGCCCCCCCCCCCCTTCATTTGGTGTTGGCGACGTCCATAATGGAGGGGATGACTAACGCAAGTGCGTTGTTCGGGATTAAGTAACGTATAGAGCCCATCAAATCGTCCGTTTGCTTCCCAGCCGCGCCATCCGGCGATGCAAGTCACTTACGAAGCATTCCGCGGCGTCGTCCATGAAGCCCAGCTGGAAGCGCTGCTGGTCGAAGAAGGACTCGGCCAAGGCCCTGCGCAGGGCGTCGGGCGGCAGGGCCCTCTCCTGGCTGAACTGCAGCTGCGAAAACAGCTCCTGCGGAAGAGAAAGGACCCTTTTCAGCACGGGAAAGCGGCGCCTCACATCGACAGCCGCGAGGCTCTCGTCGCGCTGCGCGACTTTTCGCTTCGTCTGAATTCAACGAAACACCACTCGAAAGATATCACTTCCAACTCACTGTCAATAAATTGCACATTAAGATCGCACAATTTACAACTAAAATAATCAGCTATCTAATTCGCGGCTTGAATCGTCCATTTACTTGCGAAAAAGAAAGGTAGTTGATAGTAGGTTCTAATGAAAATTAATTGTGTAAGGGGAAGCAAATAAAACGTATCTAATTAATCTCACGTAAATATTAAAAATAAAAATTAGTAAATACCATTCAGCCGTTTTATCGAATTTCTCAATACAATATACGGTTTTGCAATGTGATGTGATCAATGTGTGGCAAATGTGAATAATGAAAATGAAAGAAGTGGAGTAATAATGTGAGGGAAATCGACGCCTGGCAATGGAAGAGGACGGACAGGCAGGAAGTAGCCCTCGCTGGCCAGTCGACCATACGCTACAGGTAAATGCAACACTGCGATCTTTCGAAATTTACATTTTCTGTAAAGAAAATCTCATCCAATATGTATAAAACGTGCCTCTTTTAAACAAGGCTAAAGGGCCGGGCCGGATGGCCGAGATCTTTAAGGTAATAGTGCCGTGACGATATCGGACCGAAATATCACGGGTTCGAGTACCGCTTCGGGCATGGTTGTTTGTCCTTTCACCCCCTATTATCACCATATCATATCATCTTCACATTCGCCATACCGTTAAATGCAATAGTGGTCGCTAATGACCTAGATGTTGATGCGACTTAAAAAAAGGGTTAAAGGTTAAAAAGGGGTTAACAGTTTCAAATAGCTTCACAAATTATACTTCGATCCCTTGATTGTTTCATTTTTTTTTTTTTTTTTTTTTTTTTTTTTTTTTTTTTTTTTTTTTTCCACATAAAAGAGATACTACGTAAGAGGTAGTCTTGGGAATCACTACAGGGTAGGCAACTTTAAAGAAAATAGCGGTGCGCTTGCAGCATTGAGAAGAAAGAGTCTCTTTGACGTTGAAAGGTCTGTTGGGGCGGTGCGTCATCTCGCCTCTTTGCTTTCGGTCGCCTCGACTCACGACGCCTGAGTCACGCCCTCGTACGCCCACGCGCAGCCCTCGCCCACGGCCAGCCTCCCGGGGACCTTCGGCGCTCTCGCCAACCTCTTAGCGAGACCGCCCATCCCCATCCTCCATTTCCTCGGATACGAACGCTGGTATCTTTTGAAAGGCCCGCAACGCAAATAATTCGAATTCTTCAAATGGTAATATTAATACACATTTTACACTTTATCTGCCAATATGGAACAACTTTGAAACATTAATTAGGTACCTGAATAGGATCGTTTAACTGTCATTAGCAAAGTTTTTTTTTTTAACTTAAAAAAATTATAAGTCCAATAAACTTGAATATTTTCAAGCTATATAACTTTATTTAACTAACTGGAATGTAAATCGATCGTGGTCAGGATCAGATATTTTCCCTCGAACTGTTCGGTGAACGTTGAGAGAACCCTTGCTATGTTTCTGGACGACCACCCTTAGATTTTTCTAACATTTACAACAACAACAACAACAACAACAACAACAAAAATTAGGTAAAATAAATTACGTAAAATTTAAAATGCTGAGTTCATGGACTGCTTTATGAGTTCATGGATGGGTGCGGTTTAAAAGCATCAAATGATAAAAAAAATTGAGTATAAAATTCTGGAACGTCCGTAAGATTCAGACAATTCGAATGACTTTATTAGAAAACACGTGGCCAGGGAGAGAGAATTAAGTACCTCCTGAAATTATCTTTGTACTACTGTGTGATGAGTAAGCAGTTTGGCAACTACGAACGTTAAATGAGCGAACTTCCTTAATTTTTCAGTCTAAATGAATATCGCCAATAAACTAGAGTGGTTGAAGAACCGGTTCCCGAGTCAGGACTACGTTCACAGACGTACACGACCCGTGCAACAACGAACTCGGAACTCGAAGAAATGAAAAGCGGAAAGGCTCGTTTCGTGACAGTTCCACCCACGCGGTTGTGACTAATGTGAGAAACCTGTAGCAGGAGGGATTTTTCAAACCTAGAAAGAAACAAGAGATAGAACGTAATGACGTTTCTCGAGAATGCCCGTGGAAAGGTTTCCGTGCGTTTGTGTCGAACGTGGTTAGAAGAGCGATCGCCCACGGTTCCTCATCGGCTCGGCCGCACGATCGCTCTCGCCCCATCGCCTCAGAGAAGTTCCTCTCAGAAGGGACTAGTTTGACAGGACGCGAAACCGAAGAACCTCATGTAGGAGGTTGGCGTTGTTAGAGCAAGGGTCGAAACCGTTTGCATATGAGTCAACTGCAAACGGCCACATTGACAAATTGAGCGCGTAGACAAAATCTGCAGTTTTGTTGCCAGCAGAATCTGTCAAAGGGGTCCCTTCTTACAGCAGTCTCTCTATAGCAGGCGGGAGTCGAAAGCCCGTCATCTCGCCTCGGCAGCGCGGGAGACCGCGGAAGAGCTGGCGCGCGCCGCCCAGGTAACGGTAAGCGGCGGCGGCGGCGGCGGCGGCGGCGAGTCGGTGGAAAAGAGGTCAGAAGCGAATAGAAGGCGCGCAGCGCGGCGGCGCCGCGAAGGCCGGACCAGCGCTTGCCCAACCCCTCGCCAGTTGCTCTATTGTGACCCGTTTGCGAGGCGGCGAGCCCGCCTTTCGCCCAGCCAACACGACCACGCTCTTCGCCACAACCGCTTCGAGGGCTTCCACGAATACTTGTCATAGGTAATACCACGAGAGCTCCGAGAATTGTCGATAAATGCCGCCGAGCCTGGAGGGGATTTACCTGAGAATTTGCAAAGCACGAATAGTCAATAGGACTGTTTCACGAATGAAATTACTTTCAACAGAGTTTCAAAATGCGCCAAATATTGAAAATATCTGAAAACGTTTTAAAATCGAAGAGTTTAGGCTATAGTGCATAAGCGGTTTATTGCGCGACAATACAGCGATCGATATATATCGCCTCCTAATATAGATGAGTCGTAGCTTATTATTAGCCAGTAAGGAGGAGCTATAACAAAATCCGGATAGAAAAGTGGTAAATAGTGATATAGTCATTCGAGCGACGCAAGGAGCGCGGAAGGCAAGGCCGGAAGCGGAGCGGTCTTTCACTTCACCTTCGCTTCCGCCACAAATGTCAGATGGACACGGCGAAGGTAATTGTTACAAAAATAGATTTGAGAATAGGGACGTTGAAGCATCTTCAAGACCCAGTCTGCTGCCTTATTTATTAAGCGCGTCTGTTTCACCGTCGAAAATATCGGCCGAAATTACATAACAGGAAACACGTCAGCTTACTCATTGATGCCGCACTAACAACACTACACAGTTTCAATCGCATTTTTACAGGAAGAAAGGCACACATCTGAATTCTTGGAGGCTTAAAGAACTACTCGATACAATAAAAGTACCGCAATGTGCAGGTATTAAAACAACTATCTCCCTTTGCAATTCGCAAACGAAATCAAGAAGTCAACTTCATCGTTTCATGAAAACAGCTTCATCACGTGGAAGACGAACTCAAAATTCTTCAAATGAAGTTTCCAAATCCGGAACGAAATGACAGGTCATTCGCACTCGGAAGTACAGCGCAAACACGTCAACGAATCTTCACAGAGGTGTTCAGTCACACAAGCTGAAATTGCAGCACACGCCGTGAGTAAGGGACGAGCACAATTGAGGAGGGGGGGGGGGAAGTGGGGTGTCACTTGCCGTGAAGACGCGCACCGCCGCCGCCGCTGCCGCCGCCTCCGCCGGCGCCATCGCTCCAGCCGCCCGCCGCGCCGCCCACCGCTCGACTGCGCCGCCGCCGCCGCCTCCTCCTCCGCCGCCGCCGCCCCGCGAAGCACTTTCCTCTGCGCTGGCGAGCGGCGGCGGCGGCGGCGGTGGCGGCGGCGGCGGCGCGAAGGAAAGGCGACGCGGGGGCGGCTCCCCCAACTCCCTTGCCTCTTCACACATCACCGTATCCACGGGATTGTTTCAATACTCATCTACCAAGTCCACCGTTTGCTTCTCACTAGACTACGAAACACCCCGTGGAATTTCCGGTGAGTAAGGTCCCGAATCACTTTCTTATGCGCTGGCCGGCGGCGGTAGGGAGAAAAGGCGGCGCCCTCAACTCCATGTGCCGCTTTGCCACTTTACCAAGCACAATGCACACGGGATTATTTCAATAACCAACGTTTGCTCCTCATTATACTTTGAAACACATTCTCTCAAACATGGGGCGCTCTTCAATGCCCGGTCCATCCTCGCGGAATTTCCGGTGAGTAAGGCCGGCCGCATAGTCGCCTACTAGGGGTGACCACCAGTCGCCGGCATCAGCCAATGTTCACACCCCGTTGGGGCCACAAGACGTCGGCACTACGAACTATTTCTTCTCCTCGATTACCGTTATTTACAAACGTCATTTAGGATTGAGACACCTTCACTTCCACTTTTGTGGTGTGTTACAATCGGTTATATTGCTTCCCTTCCGAAGAGGATGCGCGAATGACTCATGCATACTGTCACCCAAGGCGCAAAATGTCGTATGTTGTAGAAACTGCATTGACTATTTGAAAATAGTATAATCAGATACAAAAACATTTGGTTGCGTCGTTTGCATTGCATGAGGTGACAAAAGGAAGACTATTTCTCCAGGTGAAATGACAAAATGCGAGAAGTAGCAATAATAGGGAAGTGAAGTTCTGGGCGGGGACGCTGGGGTGCTCCGCGAGCTGTCGCTAGAGGGCGCCTGGGGTCGGAGCGGCGCGGGCTGCGTGCACCGCAGACATAACGGGGCGGCGGCGGTCTCCT